ATTTTTTTATGAGAAATAATATTTTTTAATAAACCCTTTTTCATTCGACATACTTTATCTTAATCGAGATATTAATAAGGAACCAGCAGATCAAGTAGCTTTTGGAATAAAACACCAATTTTTTTTAAATTAAACACTATCTAAAGATTTGCATCGAAGCGTTTATTTTTGATAGTGATTTTAATCACTGTCAGATATCATTATACTTGATCCAACTATGCCACGTCACCACTGTGCCGCGACCCCCCTGTGCTGGGTTTTTAACACATAATATTGTTATCTCACATGCATAATCTTGCAAAAACCCCATCTCTATGGTTTCAAAACCATAACCTAACTAGTTTTTCCAGATTAGAAATAGATCACAACCTTTTTCACTTTCTTTAATGAATTTCGTCTCTCCTTAAATTTCGTCCATTATTATCCTTTATATAATTTTGAAGCTCTTTGAGATATCTTTTAAATTCTTATTTCATCCTACATTATATACCAGTCTAATTTCTTTATAACTTTAAGCTAATATCTCTAAAATAAGTTACCTTTAGACCCATCATACCCTGAATTCCAGGACGTCCTGAAGGTCCTTCTGGTCTTAAAAATAAAATTCATAATTTTGAGATTAATGAAATCAAGTTAAATTAAATATAAACTGTTTATATAAATAATGTTGAATGTATACCCTTGAAGTCCATCAGGGCCTCTACTGCCAGAATATCCTTTAGGACCTTTTTCCCCAGCAATGAGTGTTAATAAGTTATCAGGGAAGATAACACTTCCTTTTTCTCCTTTATTACCTGGCATGCCCTCAATTCCTGGAATATTTTTTTTTTAATTTATGTCCAATGAAATTACTATTGAAGTCTATCATTGAATTTAACCTACTAACCGTGAGCTCCATGTCTTCCCTCTACTCCTTTGGCACCTTAAAAATTAAAAGTTAAAATTAATTTTATAGAATTTTTTTATTTATTTATCAGATTAAAGTATTCAATATATTTGTATTTATAATTTAAATATATAATAATTATATATTTCACACTTTTATACAATATACAATATTATTGTCATTCATAGATTTATAATGCTTACCTTGTAAACCTGGTCGTCCTGTTATTCCTTTTGACCCTCTTTCTCCAACTAAACCAATAGGTCCTTGAAACGAAAAGTGTTAAATATTAATAAATATTTAAATTAAGCTGATTAATCTAACATACTAACCAGGTGGGCCAGGCAATCCACTAGGTGCATCATCTCCACGATCACCTGGTAAACCAGGAAGGCCTAGAAATGAAATAAAACTCAAATAAATTTTTGTATTATTAAAAAAATAATCTTGTTTCTCATATTAAGTTTAATGTTACCTGGAGGGCAATAACCACAATCATCTCCACGAATACCTTTCTTTCCATCTAAACCAGCATAACCTAAAATGTGAACAAATAAAGGTATTATTATTAAATAAGCATGTAGAATTGAAATACAAGTAATATTTTATTTTAAACTCACCAGGAACACCAGGAGTTCCAGGTATACCAGGAAATCCTGGAAGACCTGGTTCACCTTTTGGACCAATTAGTCTCTGTCCAGGCCGTGTTGCTGGCAATCCCTTTTGTCCTGTTAAGAATATAAATATTTATTTAATAAACGTAAAAAAGTTAATTATGTTTTAAAAGACCTTTAAATCCTTGATCACCACGGTCACCCGGAAGCCCTTTGTTTCCGTCATAACCTGAAATTTATCAAATGAAATTTTCAAAATTATAAAAAAATAAGAGATTGAAATACCATTTTATTTTCTGCAGTTTTTAAAACTAGGTTTAAAAAAGAAGAAAAAAAGCTAATTCAGTGGCTATTTTCCAAAGCAGACATGTCAATTTTAGCAATTAATCAGGAGAGTAAACACAAATTTAAAATTTTATATTAAATTTGCATCATATGCAAATTGTTATTTTTGAAGTTAATAAAACATAGGTAACCAAAAAAATATATATACCATTAACTTAAACATATTATTTATAATGTAAAACACAAATTTTTGTAATTTATCAGAATTTGGATACAAGTTACAGAATTATAAATATGAAAAAATTATAATAGAAGTATAAATTAATAGGTTAACTTTACTTTACATATTATGATTTTTAAAATATATACTACCTCATATATTGGCAAAATAAAAAAAACCCAACACAGTGATGTCATGGCACAGTAGTAATCCCTAATGTATTATACATGTATATAAACTCAAAAAAATTTGAACCTTTAAATGTTTATATGTAATAAACAAAAGTTGTGTCCAATATAGGTTTAATATGACAGTGATTAAAATCACTATAATACAAAATGCTTCGATGCAAATATGTAGATAGAATTTAAATCTAAGTAATTGGTGGATAATTACAAAAGCAACATCAACTTCCAATTTATTAATTATAGCCAGTAATTCTTAGATTCAAAAATATAATATATAATATATAATTTTTTAATTTTATATTATATCATTTTTATAATTAATTATTTTCAAATTATTATTCATTTTGATTTTTAATATGTTAAAAGTAAACATTATTAACCTAATTTTTTTTTTTTTTGAAATTTTATAACAAAAAAAATGAATTTATTGCCATAACTTTTACCTCAACTAGCAAGTTTGAAATAGCATGTTTTTTGCACATAATTACACAACAAAATGGCAATCATTTGTTGCACGTAGAAAATAGGTTGACGGAACAAATTTTTTTTTTTTAATTTTTAAGGGTAATGTCTTCGACTAGATATAATTTCTGAACTTTTGACATATAATTTAAAAAAATCGGTACAGTGAGAGTTTAGAAAAAGTGGTAACAGACAAAAAAATAAAAATGAATTTATTACCATAACTTTTTGCTCAACTCGCAAGTTTCAAATTAACATTATTAAATAGAAAAAAATGATATAAAGATTAATATGCAGTCAAGAAATTTTATAATTACTATTTACAGTAAATTTATCAGAAAAGCTCGATTTTTTTCGCATTTTTATCGTAATAGATCACTTAAATAGAAATCATAGTAATCATTTCTAATTAACTTTTGGTGTTTAAAAAGATTCTACAATTGAAATATGCAGAACTGAATTAATTTTAAAGATTTACTTTAATTAAAAAAACCAATAAAAAAAAATTGTCAAAAAGATCTACTCAATTGTGAGTGTATAAAATTTGATTACAATTGTGAAAATCCATTGTTAAATTCAGGTGAAACTAAAAATAATATTTTTTTTTACATTAATGATTTATATAGCACTGTTATAAAAAAATTGAAATGTTATAAATGACAAAATTTACAGATTTTAAAAATTATAATTTTAATGGAAATTTCCCCCATTTACGGGGAACGAGGAAAATTTTTTCAATTTTTAAGGGTAATGTCTTTAACTAGATATGATTTGTTTTGATTTGGCAGTTTATCAAAATCGGTCCTGTGAGAACTGAGAAAAGTGGCAACAGACACAAAAAAAAAACCCATCATGGTAAAATTAATACTTTTTCAGCTACGCATCGAAGCTAAAAAAGGAGAGCTACAAACAAACATACAGGTGAAGCTAATAAAAGTTTGTTAAAAAATTCTTTGATGCAAATCTATAGATAGTATTTAATTTTTAGAAGAAAATATTTAATTATTTCAAAAGCAACATGAACATTTATTTCCTTACGTATATCCTGATCTCAAGTTTTATGATTTCTAAGGTTAATACATGAATAAATACTTAGTATAGTGATTAAATTTAATATGAAATTGATGTTGAATAATTTAGTATTGTAATTTTAAGAGAAATCGAGTGGGTAGTATTAAAAGAATTACTCTGTATACAACTATCTTTGTAACTTTTTCTCCATAATATTTACAATAATAAATTATTCAATATCAATTTCATACTAAATTAAATTACAATAATATGTAAATATAATAAATGTAAATTTCATGCACATAGTATTTATGAAAATCAGTGACTTCATTACTGTAGCATCCCCTTTTATATGGTATAATAAATTAAAGTAAAATAGTAGGTCGGATAAAAGGATGTGCACTAAGTGTCCTATTGTGATTTACTAATTTGACAATTAAACCAATATTCAAATTAGTAAAGAACGGTAAGACCTGTACATACCACTTATAGAAGATATATATATATATAATGAAAGAGTAATACCAAAGATATTCATAAAAAGAAAATTTGTTTAGACTGATCAATTTTTTGAAAAGTTATGTTAGTTCTAAGTATGAAAGTATCAACACAAAAGACGTTGATTTTTTACATTTTTTGTTCAACTTTGGCGGCCTTTTGCCAATAGAAAATAAGGTGACTGGACAATTTTTTTCAAACATATAGTACGTAACATAAGCATTAATTTTACATATGTTTAAAGAAGACAGTATTTCCGGAACTTTTTCAAAAGCAGAGTGCAAAAAATAAAACTTTTGTGCAAAAGTTGCAATTTCAAATCCTCTCTGTGAGCAGGATAAGGTTAGATTTTCGAAAAAAGTTATACCAAACAAAAAGGAAATACCTAAAGTATTTATTTTAAAAAAAATGTTTTTGATTTGTTCATTTTAAAAAAAGTTATAGAAAAAAAATGTCCAAATTTACCGATTTTAAAAATTGTTATTTTTTGGGGACTTTCTCCATTTACAGGGAACTATCTTTTAAGGGAAATATCTTCAACTAGATACAATTTGTGATCTTTTGACATATCGTTAAAAGAAAACAGTTTGGTGAAAGCTGAGTAAAAGTGGTGATAAACATAAAAAAAAAACCACATCATAGTAAAATTGATACCTTCTCAAGTTCACATCAAAGCTAAGATGTTTGAATGATAAATAACAATTTTTCAAATATTAGTATTTTAACATTAAAATGAGGTTATAAGTACTATTATATTTAGGCACTGAGCTACAACTAATTTTTTAAACCTCGATTATTATACATTTTTTTACCTGGGAGCCCGTTTTCACCTCGAGGTCCATATACCGTAGTTCCGGGTTGGCCTTTTTCACCCCAAGCTCCAACAGGTCCAGGAAAACCATGTGGCCCTTGTTCTCCAATTGGTCCTGGTACTCCTAAAAATAATAACAAAAGTATATTATACATTAAATTTATTTACATATATCTTATTGAAAAATATGAAAGGATTAATAAATAAATTTATTAATAATAATTTATACCGTCTACTCCTTTTTCTCCATTTATTGATAAACCTTTTGGTCCTCTTTCTCCGGAAATACCTAAAAATTATTGTTGTATAAAAATTGTATTTTTCATACCTGTATAAATACAGGATAAATTATTAATGATGAGGCACTCATTTTCTAGGAAACTAACAAAAGTTTTACATTTTTTTAAAAGAAAATATTGTTTTTTTATTTTTTTTCATTACATGTAGTTAAATACATTTTTTGTATCCCTCCTGAGTTAATAAACCTAAACTTCAATTTCTTTAATGGAAACTCCTATTTTTAGTTTAATGATATGATTGAAAAAAAAATTTCCAACATTTTTATTCTCATAATTTTTTTATCCTAAGAACCATTTTTCTTTTATTGCTTCTTAAAGTTAATGAAGTTTTTTGACAATACTTGTTATTGTATCTGTCACATACACAGTAAGAACAAATACCAAAAATAATTTATGGACGATTGAAACAGATTATTGTTCCCTTAAGTATAATGAAAACTAAATTATTAATAAATCTGTATTTAAATTAGGAGTCGCGATTGTGAACAGGTATTAGAATACACAGATGCACGGAGCCCGGGTACATGGGCAAAACATATATTAAAGCCCGTGTATTTAATATCCGTGTATAATACCCGTGTATTTAATACCCATGCATTCATTGTATATATATACATTATGTTAAATATATGACTATTTAAGGTCACGGGTATTTAAATGCCTGGGTATACACGGATATTTTTACTACACGGACTTTAACCCCATCATAGATAAAAACACGGGTACCCGTGTAGTTCATTACACGTGTAATCGCGACCTCTAATTTAAATCCACATTTTTCAATAACTTTAAAATGCAAATGATTGATCGGAATAAAAAAATTATAAAAACAAAAATTTTCTTAATTTTCTTTTTTATCATATCAACAAACAAAGGGGTTCTCATTAAAGAAAATCAATGTTTAGATTTTTAACCCTGAAACAATGAAGAAAAAAATTATTTAAATATAGATCGTTGGAGCAAGATCAAAAAAACATATAAACCAAAACATTTTAAAACTTTTTCAAACTGAATTATTTAGCTTTTTTTGTAGAAATGAATATTACAATGATGGAACTCTAAAGGTTAAAAGTTCTATGGTTTAAAAATAAAATTAAAAAAAAAAAAAATAGAATGAAATTTTTTGAAAAAATAAATTATTTTTTTGATTAATATGTTTTTCTTATCTTACAACAATGAATTTACTGTAGAATTCATTAAATCATCACAATTTTTTCTTAAAATTTTCAATTGTTTTTAATATAATGGGTGTCTTATCCTTAATGCATCATCCTGTATACAGAATGCTCAGTACATAAGAAAACAGGTCAATTGTTAGAAACAATAAGAATAATAGAAACCTGTTTCTTTACTTACTGAACAACCTATATACTATCAGCATTTACCTGGAACTCCTGGTTCACCTGCAGGACCCTGAAGCCCTGGTGGACCATCCTAATTAAGAAAAAAATTAGATACATCTTAAACATTTTTATCAAATAATCGCTTACTTTTCCTGGTATCCCATCATAACCTGGAGGACCTTGTTCTCCTAAAAATACAAAACAAATTAGTATTAGTTCTAATTCAATTAAAAATCATAAATTTAGCATCTCATTTTTTGATAAATTGAAATTATGCCTGTAATAGTAATATAATTGTTTACCTATAGGGCCTTGTGGCCCTTCAGCACCAATTTGTATTTGGTCTAATGTTGGATCATACAAGCCACGTTCTCCTTCTGAACCTTGTACCCCTGGAAACCCAGGTCGTCCTAGTTCACCAGATTCACCCTAATATTTATTTTTCATTATATTAATTTTATAGTAAAAATACAACATACAATCTAAACACATGATTAAACTATTATTATACAATTATTTAACTATATTTTTAGATTTTATTATAATTAAGAGATGTCATAACATGATTTTTTTTAAACAATTAAGTATGCTCACTTTTTCTCCATCTAAACCATCCAAGCCAGCATATCCTGGAGCACCTTTATCACCTTAAAAAATAGCATTATTTCCATATAGGCAAATATAAAAAAAGAAATCTGCTTATGATATTTAATTTTAATAATCATTACCTTTTATACCACTAGGTCCAAAAGGTCCAAGTTTTCCATCTTTTCCGCGTGGACCGACGTTCCCTTGTATGCCTAATGATAATAAAATTATTAAATTTACTAAATCAAAAATCCTACAACTAGTGCCACAACTTGGTAAATATTGGTTAGTGTGCAAGGCAATATTAAGGAGCCCATGATTGAATATTATTTGAAATACTTTAATGAGTTAGATACTCATTAATGGATGCTATGATTTAACAGGGGCCCAGGGGTTCCTTGCAACCCCAGCACCTCCAGTAGTTGCAGCACTGCATATAACTATGATGATTTATATGATTTTAAATCTAATAAACTGTTAAAATTAAAGAATTATGTGTAATTATAATTTAGAAATTCTTTAAAATAAATTTAATTTTTATTAATATGTATTTTAAAATAAATTGTACCTTTAGTTCCTTTAATGCCTTCATATCCAGCAGGGCCCTAAAATTAAAAAAAAACATTAATGTCAACTTACCTAGATATATTATTTAATCCACGTTCAAAAATGATCAAATTAATATATTTAAAACTTCAAATATATAAAATGTTCAGTAATTGAGGAAACAAATTTTTATTGTTCTCGTTGCAACAATTGACCTGTTTTCTTACTTTCAGAACACTTTGTATATGAAATATGTATTGTACTTTTGAAAAAATATTATATTGAAACCCAAAACTAATTATACATTTTTTCTTCCTCTATTTTTAACAAGTAACTATAAAAGTAAATTTTATGTGGGTTTTTATTAAACCTATTGAAATTGATGTAGTTAATTATATTAAGTATATGAGTTATTTGAATATTATAATAAATAGGGTAGATCATTATTTTCTCATAAAAATAAAATACTCTCAGTTGTCAAATAATAAAAGTAAATATTTTTTTATTTCTATAGAAAAACTTCTATCAAAAAATCTTTATATTGATACAAAACTATTATAAATATAAAAAGATATGCCAAATTAAAAAATAATAATAATCGTAAATTATTATACATTATTATAAATAATAATAAATAGTAAAACAAAAACTAGTCACAAGGAATAAAGATTATAATTTTTACAAATTAATTTTTCCTGATACGAACGAATAATCCAAATTTGATAAGACACTTATTCAGAAACTACTGAAAAATTTTTATTTTGAAACTACATGGGAAGTATTTTACTTGTGGGCCTTTCCTGCCTACACAATGGCGTATACAATAACCCGTCAGTGGTGCACACAGTCACTATTTTAGTCAAAAGTTAAAAATAAATTACCCTCATTCCTTTGAAACCCATATCACCAGTTGGTCCTCTAATACCAGTCTCTCCTTTAGGTCCTTTTTCTCCTTTTGGTCCCCTGTCTGCAGTTTCATCTGATGGTATTACAGGTCCATGGCCAAAGACTTCGCCTGGAGGTCCAGGCCCTCCACGATCACCATCATCTCCAGAAATACCTGATAAAAAGCAAGTTAATAGTGAATCAATAATAACAATTGAGTATATTTAAACTAGTGGGAATATAATGAGCATTCAAAAAGAATTACTTCCTTTTATTTTTAAGTTAATTTATTTATACATACATACAACTATAAAAAAAGTGATAATGTAGCATTAATATTATCCATAATATCATTTTTCTTTTCATTATTATTAAAATAAGGAATTTTTCGGCGTCCAAATTCCGTTACATAGGAAAATTGTAAGAGGGATTAAAAAATAAAATTTTTAAGTAGGTATGAATTATTTGTTTAACTTTTTATTTCATACATCTAATTTTTAATTACTGCTATGGATCCAAAATTTAAGTAATTTAAACTTTAAACTCTTCCTAGTAAAATAATAATTTATCGAATTTTGTATTTTTTTTGTTTACAGGAGTTTAATTGTAGTCCAAATCAAAGTATACAGGATAATTGTTTAACTATGATACGTGCGTAATTGAAATCATATAGTACATTTTGTTTAAATAAAATTATACATCAAAAATACATAATTCTAAAAATGTCACAATTGTATAAAAAAAAATGGACTAAAAAGTAACTTGAAATAAATTCATTAATTTTTTCAATAAAAGATAACAAAACAAATTTTTTTGAAAATTTCTTCTTAAAAAAATAAAAAACTGGAATGGTTTAATTTTTTTGGTTATAAAAAGGAATGAACTTATTAATCTTTCTAAGGTATATGCCGAAAATAGAATATCATATTCATTGCAAAAATAAGTTACCTTTTTGTCCAATTTTAGCATCTCCATCATCTCCTTTTTCTCCAATAAAACCAGATTCACCGTCAGGTCCCTAAAATTATAAACAATTAAATAGCATCATTCTAAATTTTATATAAATTATATTCATTTTTTTAAAAGATCTCTTAGTATTAAAATTGTACATTTTAAAAACTGACACTCTACTTGATATATAATTTTATTTACCTGTGGTCCAGGAATACCAATGTCGCCAGATGGTCCTTCACTACCTGGATAACCAGGTATACCCTGAAAATATAAACAATTATGTAAATGAAATTTATATGCAATTAGCTTTTTTTTAGTTATTCAGAATAGGTTCATAAAATTTTTATTGGTGTAAATAAAAACTAAATAATGTGTTTTTATATACATTATTTAGTTACATTTAATAATATTTTTTACTTCCTAAAGTAAAAATTATTTTTATGTTATTTTATATTCCTATATAAATTTGGAAGTAATGGGATATCTATGAAGTCACAATAACAAACTTAATCAATCTGGAATCCAATATAAATATTTGATAATCAAGTAAAAATAAATGCAGTAAAAAAATTAACATAAGCTAATTTTAGTAAATCTTTATAATGTTTTTGTCTTACCTTTCTTCCTGCATTTCCAAAATTACCTATTTCACCTTTAACGCCTTTACTATTAGCACCACCATCACCAGGATCACCACGTAAACCCTACACATAAAAAATAATTGGTACTTAATGCTCATCACAATTTTTACTAAATAAATCATAAAATATAAACAAAATAAATCATAAAATCAAAAAATAAGTCATAATCAAAAGAATATAGAAACTTTATACTCGTATATTCAAAGGCTAAAAATAATTAAGAAATGTAATTTTTTTATTTACAATAATTTTTTTAATTATTACTATTATTGACTTTAATAAACATTTTTAAAGTTTTTTAGTTTCAAATAAATATTTAAAATATATTTTTAATTTTAAATAATATTAGCAAATTCTTATTAAAGATATGAAAAATATATATTTTTTAAATTGTTTTACTTTATTTTAGCTGAAAAATTTTCATTATCAGATGAATAAATTACATTGTTTTTATTTGTAAAGTTAAAAAAAAACTGTTATAAAAAGTTTTTCTTTAGCTAAAAAAAAATAAATAAAAATGAAAAATATTGAGTATTTTAATTATAGCACAAGTACATTTTTTTTATCTACCTTATGATGAAAGCTAAATTATAGCAATAATACATTAGAGGTATATTATAACTTACAGGAAAGCCATCAATTCCAGGTAATCCTCTTTCACCAACAAGGCCAACATTTCCTGGTTTACCTTCAACACCTTTGGTTCCATTACATCCATCAAGACCTTTTGGGCCTGAAAGTCCCTTTATACCTGGATATCCCTAAAAATAAGTTTAAAGTCACTATTTATTTGAACACACAATGTATTTAACAATATTTTTGTTTGAAAATCTAAAATGTTAAACTTACTGGATTTCCATCTGTGCCAAGTAACCCTTGTGGACCAGAATCACCCTAAAAAAATTATGACACTTTTCATAGACTATAATATAAATTTTAACTAATTAGTCTAATTAAAGCTCTTTACTTCCTAATATTCATTCATTAAAATTAAGTTTGAAATATATTACATCACTGATTATATTTAATTCAGATGTAATGAAAATAATACTTATCATATTTGTATAGTGAAACCGTTTCCGTTAGGAAAGGTTTCAATATCAGACATTTTTTTGGAAACTGGGTAATTTTCACAACTTTTAAACAGGAAAACCGTTGAAAACGGACACCTCCTTTAGTCTAAATTTCAAAAACATGATTACAAGTAAAAGAAAGTATGCGCTTTCACTAGATTAACTATAGTGAACTTGTTTGGCAAAATACATCACACTCCTTATAGACGATAAGATTACGTAAAATAATGACCATCATGGCAATAATATCAATATCTTAACTACCATGTTTAGTATAATGTGTTTGATAGCATCGGTTACAATGAGTTCCTTAACGTTAAAACAAAAACAATAATGTTTCACAAAAAAATTGAAATTTTAGACTTCCATTAAAATAACGAAAACGTAAGATGTTCGTGTACTCAACGAAGTTTCAAATTCGAAAAATATAAATCGCGGATATTGTGTCTAATAAAGTGAATAATTATAAAACGTAGGTTGAAAATGGAAATATCGATGGTAAATTATCAAAATTAAGAAAATGTGAAGGATGTATGATTGATAACATAATTTTGGTATAGTTAGACAGAAATTTAGGAAAAATATTGCCTGTTTCAAAACCAATGATACAAGAAAAGGCTAAATTAATCGACGGAGTTCGTAGATTAAATGACTTCAAAGCTTCAGATGGGTGGATCGAAAATATTTGAAAATGGCATTACTCTTTCTCCTTTTGGTCCTGCATCACCCCATTCTCCAATAGATCCTTTTTCTCCTTTGGGTCCAAACGGTCCATCAGGTCCTATAATTAGATTTAAATATAATGTATTAAATTTTTTTTAAGATTTTCAATAGAATGAAATATGGAGAAAAATTGTCAAATATAGTATATCTAATAAACATTGTAATGACCTGTTTCTCCGGGATTTCCTTCTACGCCTTGTGAGCCGTATACACCCTTATCGCCGGGTTCGCCAACAATACCTTTACAATCGCATATGAACGGATTTTTACATCCCCTGCATGCCTGAAAAGAACAAATTTTTTGCTATTCATATAAAAGTAATCAAATTTCTTTTTAAATATGTTAAGTTTATACTACTTAAAAAAATCTTTTATAAAATCATCATCATGTAAAAAGACGAAACAAATTTAAAATGGATAAATTAATTTTTCTTCAACATACAGTCACCTAAATCTATAGTTCAAAATATTTGTTCAATATTACTACAATAAAAAAAAAAAGCTTGGGAAGCAATTTTGCTCATTAAACGGCATGATCCTAACGTTTAATCGATACTTCCAAAGCTTTTATTTCTTATTGTAGTAATATCGAAAAAATATTGTGTTACATGAACTTAAGTGCATGCAAAATTGCAGCTCAGTCCGATGTCAGAAAATGAGTCGAAATTGAGTTTAAAGATTTCTAGCAAGGCGGAATTATTTATTTTTAAATTAATTATGTTTATTTGCTTCAAAATATTTAATATTTTTGAAGTAAAGCTTTTTAATTAAGCAGCAAACGAAGGTACGGATAGGTAGTAATATTAAAAACAGTTACATGCATGCTTGCTAGATATACGGTCTATCCTTAAAGTAAGTTGAATAAGTCCAAAAAAAGATGCAATGCATTTAAAGATAAAAAAAAATATTCCGAAATCTCGATTTTTGAGGGTTATTGGCCATTAAAGCCAAAATTCATACAAATTTAAGTAAAATTATCCGATTTTGAAATATTTTGCATAGTAACGATATGCTTACAACATTCTGAATTATTTCATGATAGCCTGTTTTAATAAACCAGGTCTTTGGGTTTACTTTTCTGAAAAAATGTACGACAAGATAATAGATATAATGTAATGTTTGGAAGTGTAAATGACGGAGGGAATTTATTCGGACCTGTGACCGCCCTGGGTTCTTATTTCACTTTACGATTTATACAGTTTTTTAAACTAATTATATGATTAAAAAAAGAAAAACATTCCGATGTCATATCTTCTAAGAGTAATCAAAGAACAAAAGTCAAGAACATTAAAGCGTATTTAATATTAATTAAACACGCATTGAACGATAGTGATTCAAATAACTGTCACATTTCAATCATCACTAATATTAAAAATGCTTCAATTATACTTTACTGAATTAATCGACTGTACTTAACTTTTTAATTTTTGGGTTAATATAAAAAAAAAAAAAAAAAAAATGATTAAATAATTATTATTTGCTGCTTAATTATTATACAGTTCAACGACCTAGAAATTTTTCAAAAAAATTGAATACTTCTTGCATCCGGATTCTGACGAATAAAGTGAACGAATGACAAAAATCAGATGATATTTTATCTATATAGTATAAACGATTGCATAGAAAAACGATGGTAAAAAATTTACATAGTTGAAGATTCGTATGCATACATTATCTTACGGACGGACGTCCGGACTCATTGGTAACTAGTACATTAACATTGATAACGCTGCAGTCTCCCCACAATCAAGGGCAAATAAATAGAATGCGTGAGACATTATAGTATATAATATAATTTCATTAAGAGCCCACGCATTTCGGATTTCCGGATGTAACGATAATACTTGCAAAGTTCTCTTCAATTCGAATACTTCCGATCGATTAGCTCACGTGCCAAGGATACTTATTTTTTCGGAAGTAAATTGCACAATTTCAAATTATTATGAACTAGATTAATAGCAGCCAGTTATCAGAGAATTCTTGCAACATTATCTTTAAAATTATGAATTGCATTTATCCTACAAGATAAATGCAAATACAAATTATACATTATTATATAATATGCATATAGAAATATATAATAATATTATTAAAGACATTTATAAATAAAAGAAAAAATAAAACTATTTAATTATATACAGTTGAATGAGTTAAATATTTAATAATTTAAATATTAAAAAAATCACTTTATATATTACACTAATATTTCATTACTATTAATAAATTAAAGAATTTAGAATTAAAAGGTCTAATTCATATTAATTTTGAAGAAAAATTCAATTTTTTTAATTGATTGTTAAGTTAAATACAAATATTTAAAATGAGATTTCTAATATAATTTTTCATTTATCATTTATTGTTGTTATAATTTATTTTTTTTATTACTCTACTTATGTAGATAATCAAAGGTTATAGAAAATCACAATAATTTACTAAACATAGACCACAGATGCAAAAGAAAGATACTCAGACAAAAATAAAAATTACTGAATTGAATATAATTTTCGATATTTGAATTATAAACGGTTAAGTAATTATTATTCAACTCTATTCATGTATTTTTAATAGTTTATCAATTAAAATTTATTAGGTATAAATTAACTACTTAAAATCAAATTGTTCTAACAATGTCTAAAAATATGGACATTTTAATTTTAAACAGCTCACCTGTACGTCAATAGAGCTATAAGATAGAAATATTTAGTTTTTAGGCAAGGAAATATTCTAAAGATACTTCAAAGTAATAAATACATTTTTTTATAATACTCATGGGTAAGCTAAAAAAAATAGGTTATGTTAGTAAAATATATTTTCTAATATTTTGTTAAATTTAACATTGAACTTTTCTATGTTAAGCCATTCTGTTTGCTTTTTGTGTTATTTTTTTCAAGTAATGGGTCAAGATTATCAACATTTTTGTATGATTGGAAACTAATTAATGTATAAAATATTTAATGTGTGATAATATAACAATCAAGTTAACAAATCGGATACCGTAGTTTACTAATTGCTTATCATAATGGTTTATTTCACAATATTTGACGATAAAAGAGAAAATTTAGTTTTAAATGTATTAAAAATCTTGTTAGATTATGTATTGAAACTATATTTGAAATATAATATAATTTTTGAAATCTATTAATTTAAAATAATTAATTAAGCTTCAGCATTATTGGATAGTATTAAACATATTCAACTCTTAAATTAGTTAAAAATATAAAATCATTGTAAAATTATACGATTTAGTCATTTGATATTAATAAACTCTTGTAAAAATAAATTAATATTTTTCAATAATGTTAAAGATACTTTTCTTATAAATTATATTTCTTAAAAACTTATTTATGGTCATACTTAAATTATGTTATGTTTAAAAATTTGTGTTTTAAAACTTTTCTAGATATTATGAAACATTTGTTATTAATACATCAATTGTGTATGTCTTTCGTATATTAAAATTTGATATAAATTAATAATTAGTTGTTTTTGTTGATTGGTAGGTCATTGACTTATATTTAAATATTTGATCTAAAATTTTTAACATCTAATGAATCTGGCCGACTTATTAACATAATTAATATATGAAAAAATTAATTACATTTTTCCATTAAATATTAAGTATAATAATTTATTCTTAAATTGGTATAATTTTTGGGCAATTTAAAATTATTATTATTCAAGAAGAAAATATTATGACCTTAACATCAGAAAAATAAAGAATATAAGAAATCTAAGAATAATAAAGTGAGATTCAAGAGGAATTAATTTTTATTATTGAGATTATATTACAATTTTAGAAAGAGGTGTTATAAAACTTATTTAAGTTTTTATTTATTTTTAATAAATATTTAATAAAACAAAATTTAAGAATCCTAGCTTATTATATTAAATAACTATTAATTCATTTGACTATTTTTTATCAATGTTTTAACATATTTTTGTACTTTGGTTCTTGGGTTCACAATAGCTTGAAATTGGTTTATTTTGAAATTAAAAAAGTAAATGCATATATATATATATATATATATATGA